TGTTCACGGGAGCCTCCGGAAGTTTATCATTGATCGAATGTTCCATTAATCGGTTGCACCACTCATCATCACTGTCAAGTGACACAGAAAAAAAAAACAACTCAATAACACGCAGGTCAAATAGTAGCAAAAGTTCGCAAGAGCCTTCGGAGGTTTATCGTCGAACAGATGTTGGAATATTCGATTGCATCACTCATCATCACTCTCATTTGACCCAGTAAAAACAACTCAACAACATGCAGGTCAAATAGTAGCGAGTGTTAGCGAGAGCCTTCGGAGGTTTATCGTCAAATGAATGTTCGATTATTCGGTTGCACCACTCATCATCACTCTCATGTGAACCAGTAAAAACCGCTCAATAACACGCAGGTCAAATAAAAAAAACTCGCGAGAGCCTTCGGAGGTTTATCGTTGCACGAAAGTTCGATTATTCGGTTGCACCACTCATCATCACTCAAGTGACACAGTAAAAACAACTCAAAAACACGCAGGTCAATTAGTAGCAAATGTTCGCGAGAGCCTTCGGAGGTTTATCGTCAAACGAATGTTGGAATATTCGATTGCATCACTCATCATCACTCTCATTTGACCCAGTAAAAACAACTCAACAACATGCAGGTCAAATAGTAGCGAGTGTTAGCGAGAGCCTTCGGAGGTTTATCGTCAAATGAATGTTCGATTATTCAGTTGCACCACTCATCATCACTCTCATGTGAACCAGTAAAAAAAGCTCAATAACACGCAGGTCAAATAAAGAAAACTCGCGAGAGCCTTCGGAGGTTTATCGTTGCACGAAAGTTCGATTATTCGGTTGCACCACTCATCATCACTCAAGTGACCCAGTAAAAACAACTCAAAAACAAGCAGGTCAAAGAGTAGCGAATGTTCTAGTGCGAGAGCATTCGGAAATTTATCGTCGAACGATAGTTGGAATATTCAGTTGCACCACTCATCAACACTGATGTGACTCAGCAAAAACAACTCAATAACACGCCTGTCAAATGATTGCGAATGTTCGCGAGAGCCTTCGGAGGTTTATCGTTGCACGAATGTTCGATTAACAATTGCACCACTCATCATCACTCAAGTGACACAGTAAAAACAACTCAAAAACACGCAGGTCAATTAATAGTAAATGTTCGCGAGAGCCTTCGGAGGTTTATCGTCGAACGAAACTTGGAATATTCGATTGCACCACCCATCATCATTCTCATGTGACCCAGTAAAAACAACTCAATTACACGCCTGTCAATTGATTGCGAATGTTCGCGAGAGCCTTCGGAGGTTTATCGTCGAACGAAAGTTCGAATATTTGGTTGCACGACTTATCATCACTCTCATGTGACCCAGTAAAAACAGCTCAAAAACACGCATGTCAAATAAGGAATGTTCACGGGAGCCTCCGGAAGTTTATCATTGATCGAATGTTCCATTAATCGGTTGCACCACTCATCATCACTGTCAAGTGACACAGAAAAAAAAACAACTCAATAACACGCAGGTCAAATAGTAGCAAATGTTCGCAAGAGCCTTCGGAGGTTTATCGTCGAACAAATGTTGGAATATTCGATTGCATCACTCATCATCACTCTCATTTGACCCAGTAAAAACAACTCAACAACATGCAGGTCAAATAGTAGCGAGTGTTAGCGAGATCCTTCGGAGGTTTATCGTCAAAAGAATGTTCGATTATTCGGTTGCACTGTTGTGCAGCAAAAGTTGGGAAACAAAAAATCACCAATCCGACTGAATAAAACTAGTGATTCGCAAAGAAAGTAATTTATTTCATGAGTTATAGATAGAATTCAATTGATCTTAGTTAAATGCGGTTTTAAATAAGTAAATCAGTTCAATCGTAGAATTAGTTCAAGTAGAAAGCTGAGATGTCTTTTTTTTAGGCTTCAACATTCCGCCTCACTTGAAGTGTCTTCAATTTTCAGATCGTTATTATGTCTGGATATGACTACCCATTTACAGTGTATGAGACGAAGGAGAGGAAGAGTAGGGCGGAGTCGGGTAGAGCACCACGTCTGCCTCCACATGGCGAGGTGCGAAGGTCCAGTAGGCGGGGCGCTGTCGACCGGGAGGACCTGCAGGGTTTCTTCGATGCAGTGACCAGAGGAGATCTGGGTTTCACTCCGATTCCTGTAAAGTCGTTGGATGAGATCCAGTCTTCAAGGAAGGAAGCTGCAATCGTGGATAGGGCAGTTCTGCGGTTTCCGAAAGCTGAGACTGTGAGTAGCATTTATTCCATTGTATCATAGTAGTAGAGTATAGCGGGTGTGCATCAATTGTTTTTGTTTTAGAAGCAACTTAGAGGTCTTAAACGTATTAGTGACCTCAGCGTAGAAGGGTCATTGTGCACTGGCTGGTAGCAATGATTCGGAGATGGGGTTCACTGATGCTGCTAAGTATCTGAGGAACCTTGGTTCTCAGCAGAAGAAACTGGTCCGCTATGGTGTTCTTGAGAAGGGGAAAAGTTTGTATCTTCCATATGCGTGGTGCCATGCAGTTCTGACTCTCTGCGACGAAGAGAGGGTCTGCTGCATGTACTATGCGGAGATGCAAACTCGACTTTCCTTGGTAGCATCTGCGTGGAAGCGCTGCCAGCAACACTGCAGGGTCAATAAGCGAAGAGGACCAGATGACAGCGAATCGCATGACAGCGAATGACTGTTCAACAGTAAATATGTAAACAATTATTCAATAAATCAACTATATGTGACTGCACCATAAGTAAGGAGTATACAAGTGAAGTATCAACGGTACGAGTCATGAGCGAAAGTTTGTCCTAGCTGTTTTCAGACAATAATTACATTTTGGGTCATGAGTGTATAACCTCATACGAATTTTTAATGCTGGGAATTTACAAAATTGGGAATTTACATGAAAGTGGTCAATATGAACGATTCAGACCATAAAGTATTGCATAGGGGGTAATTTAAGTTCCTACTTTCAAAAGGGTCATGGGGGTACTACCACTTGAAATTTGAAAACTGAACATTTTTGATATTTTTCGATTTATAGCACTAAAGTTCTTGTTTTAAATGAACTGCACATTGGATATGACTTGGTTGTTATACTGGTAGCTTCCGCAGCTTCGCGACTGGGCATATTTATTCACCAGTTGTGGTCTTCACTTTTACCACTCGAACAATTGAGTCATTTCCAGGATAAACTTCTATGATTCGTCCAGTTTTCCATTCTAGCGGTCGTTCATTGTCTTCGGCAAGTAGGACTAGGTTGCCAACTTTAAATTCTGGGCCATCCGTGAACCATTTTTTTCCGTATTTTTAGCGTTATGAGGTAATCCCTTTTCCAAACTTTCCAGAAATCCTTGATCATATTCTGTAATAGTCGATATCGTACATTGGTTGAAAGTTGGATGTCAGCAGAAGGAAGAGTTAGCAATGATTCCCCTATCAGAAAATGAGCGGGTGTCAGCGGAGTTGGGTCGTTAGGATCACTTGACATTGGATACAATGGTCGTGAGTTTAAGACATTGTAAGAAATTCTTCAAAACTGAGACGTTGCAGTCCTATAACTTTTCGCATATGTCTCTTCATTCTTTTCACAGCTGCTTCCCAGAGTCCTCCAAAGTGAGGAGCACGAGGAGGGATGTTGACCCATTCAGTTCCTTGGCTATTGACGAAACTAACAACTGATTTGTCCGTTCCATTTTTTGTCGAGCAGTTCCTTGATTTTGATCAGATCATTTCGAGCCCCGATAAAAGCGCTTCCATTGTCACTTAAGATCTTCTCAGGTTTGCCACGGCCTGCAGTAAATCGTTTCAATGAAAGGATGCATGCTTCTTTGGTTAGACCAGTAACCATTTCCAAATGAATAGCTTTTGTCGCGAGACAAACAAAGACGGCAACATAAATTTTTGAGACCCCTGCTTCCTTAATTTGAAAGGGACAGCAAAATCTATTCCACATTGAGCAAATGGTTTTGCGGGTGTTATTCTTTCTGTAGGAAGATCAGCCATGAATTGAGAAGTAGGTTGCTGACTAAATCGGACATATCTCATGCATCTTCTAATGAACTGTCGAACTAGATCACGGCCTCCGATTATCCAAATTTCCTCTCTCATTGTGTTCAGTACTAATTGCCCCCCGCCATGAAGAGTATCTTCATGAAATTTGCGTAGGGATACTGAATCAGATTTTTTCAAAACGAGTATTGGAAACTTCTTGTCTGTTGGGTAGTTCGATTGTGAAAGTCTGCCTCCAACTCTTAGTAGATCGTAATCCTTGTCGAAAAACGGACTAAGATTGAGTAGTTTCGATGTTTTACTCAGCTCCCTTTTCACCTTCAGACAATTTAGCTCTGATTTGAAGTGTATTTCTTGGTCTAAACGAAGAATTAGCATTTTTGCCATGATTCTATTTTTAGGACTAAGACAATCTTCTTCAAGTTGTACATCAGATGTCCGCTTAAATCTGAGCCGCTTCCGATAGTTTGTCGATATTCTATGCTTAAGATGTTGAACAAATGATAGTACATAGCATGCGATGCGTACTGTCTTGTTCCAAGTGTTGTAGTCCTTTAAACGAAAAATTCCATCCGTCATTTCTTCGTTTTGAGCATGATTTGCGAGAACAGTTCGAATTTGTTCACTTTCTGCATTAGTCTTGGCTTTGACGGTTCGTTTTTCAGGTGCTTCAACTAGAGATGGTAGTAGGTTGGGCCAGTGCCTTTCATCCTTGGTCAGCCAATCTGGTCCATTCCACCAGAGTGAGGAAGATATTAATGTGTCAGCTAATACACCACGAGAGGCTAAATCAGCTGGATTTACTGCTGTTGGCACGTGTTTCCAATCACTTCTGGGTAGGGTCTCTTGTATTTGTGAAACTCTGTTTGCAACAAAAGTGTTCCACGTTCTTGGAAGTTGAGCAAGCCATTGCAAGACAATTGTTGAATCAGTCCAGGCGTGTGAAGTTATCTTGAGATTTGTTTTCCTCAAAATTGAATGAACTGATTTAAGAAGTTTGGTAGCTTAACTTGCACCGCAGAGCTCTAATTTGGGAACAGAGATTGCTTTGACCGGAGCAACCTTTGTTTTGGAGGTCAGTAGATACGCAAAAGTTTTGCCATCATCATTGGTAATTCTTGTATAGATTGCGGCTGCATATGCTTTTTCGGAAGCATCACAGAATACGTGAAGTTGAACCTCCTTTATTGGATGTGAGCTCATAGATCTTGGTATCTGTAGTTCCAGTAGTTGAGGCAAAGTTCCGGTGAGCTCATACCAATTTTCCCTGGTTTTCTGATCGACTTCAGAATCCCAATCAAAACCTTGGACCCATAGCTGTTGCATGAGACATTTGAAATTGATGATGAATGGAGCTAGCGATCCCATCGGATCAAACAATTTTGAAATTGTGGACAGAAGAGTCCTCTTTGTAAGCAGTTTCAGCTCTGATAAGGCAGTTGAAAAACAAAAGATGTCCTTATTGGGCTTCCAACTGACTCCTAGCGCCTTGATTTGGTATTCGTCAGGAAAAAGTTCCAGCACATCCGATTTTTCGCGGAGATGTTCTGGCAATCCTTCAATTATTTTAGCTTTGCTTGAAGTCCATTTTCGTAGAGGGAATTCATGAGAGTTCAGCTCTTCGCATAAATCAGAGATGAGTCTTTCTGCTTCATGCTTATCATTAGCGCCACCAAGAAAGTCGTCTACATAGAAACAATTTTTGAGACTTTCTTTGATCATTGGGTTCTTAGATTGATCTGCTATTTCATTGAGGCATCTTGTTGAGTGACAAGCTGACGAAGCTATTCCATATGTAACACGTGTCATCCTGAGATGCTTGATTTCATCCGATTTATTTGATCTCCAAAGTATGCGATGGAAATCCTTCGATTTGTCCTCTAGAGCAACTTGTCGGTACATTTTTGCGATATCTGCTGATAAAGCAATTGGGTAGAACCTGAAGCACATGATTATCGAGTAGAGGTCGTCTTGTACCGTGCGACCAACCATCAAAGTGTCGTTGAGTGATTTTCCGGTTGATGTTGTTGCAGATCCGTCGAAAACTACACGTAGCTTTGTGGTAGTAGAATCTTCCTTGAAAACGCAGTGATGTGGCAGATAATATACGCTATCAACTGGCTTTTCGATTTCTCCAGGCGGTATGTACTCCATATGCCCCATATCGAGAAATTCGTCTATGAATGCGGTATAGCGATCTTTTAAATCTGGATTCTGTTCCAGTCGTCGCTCGAAATAATTGAATCTGCCTTTTGCTTGTGCTAAACTGTCGCCAAGTTGACTATTGGGCTTGAAAGGCAGCTGCACAGTGAATCGTCCATTTTGTAGTATGGTTGTTTCCTTAAAGTGAGATTCACATCGATCTTCTTCTGTTGTTGTCTTTTTGAAATCAGGAATTTCTTCTAGTTCCCAAAATTTCCTTGGACTATCGTCAATTGACACATGAAATGACTTGAAGAAGGTTCTTGGAGGACCGGGTGTTCTGCCGCTAATCATCCAACTAAATAGAGTGTCACGTGCATAAAGCTTGTCTGTAAGCTTAATATTTTCGCAGCCAACAATGTCGTTGTAGACATCACAGCCTAGGATTATATCGATTTCCTTTGGTTTATCAAAGTCTGGGTCCGAGAGCTTAAGACGTGTGATAACCAAACTGTTCGGTATATTCACCCGTTTTTTGGGCAGGTAGCCAGGAAGTTTTTGAAGAGTGAAGGCTTCAATATGTAGAGATTGATTCTTAGAATCCTTTGTTTCCAGATTGACAGAACCAGATTTCACAGTTTTTGCTCCTCCGCCAACTCGAGTTAGTTGAAGAGTTAATTTCTTGATTGGTAGCTTGAGTCGGTTAGCACAGCTGGTTGTAACGAAACTTCATTCAGATTCGCTGTCCAGTAAGGCTCGACAATTGTGATAACCGCCATTTGCAGTTTTCACCTCAATTAGTACAGTTCCCGGTATGGTAGTGGCACCGGTAGTACCCCCGTGACCCGCAAACTTATTTTCAGGTCCCGGTTGCTTGTTTGGGTCTGAAGGGATGTGAAGTAACGAGTGATGACCCTTTCGACTGGTTTGGCACGTTGACTTCGACTTGCACTCATGATTTTGGTGTCCAAGGGACAGGCAATTGAAGCATAATCGCTTTGATTTGGCTTCTTGTCTTCTATTGGAAATAGACATTTCCTGAAATTTTAAGCATTGATACACGCGGTGATCACCACTGAAGCATGGGGAGATGATCGTCTTAAGAGAATTTGTGTGGTATGTCTGTACCTTGTCATCTTTCTTAGAGTTTCCAGGTTGGTCTGAACTTCCTTGATGATTTTTTCTATGAATTGAACTGGAGGTTCTTCGTAGCTTCTAGGGCGCGAGATCGTTCCTCCAAGAACTTCTTCATCTGTTTGATTTTTGGCACGTCACTTCACGCGCAGGAAAGTTCCCATTGTCTTCTAGTTTCAGGATCTAATTTCTTGGCCAAAACGTGAACCCAGATCAAATCGCATTGATCAATTTTTAGTCCAAGTCCTGTCAGTGCCATCGTGTTTTCCGTGTAGGTATTAATCAAGCGACGTATTGCAGCGGATGACTCATGCTTCATTGGAGTGAATTCAAAAATTGCTTCCAATTGAGCGTGTGAGATCATCTTGACATCAGCATATCGATCCTTTAGAAGTTCCCTTGCGACTGAGTAGTTCGCGTTTGTAGTAGGCAAGTGGGATAGCAAACGAAACGGTTCATCCTTGAGGGCACCCTTTAGGTATTGCAGTTTCTGAACATCAGACAGCGATGCATTTGAGTGAACTGCTCCATCAAAGGAATCTAAGAAAGGTAGCCATTGATCATACCTTCCGCTAAATGTTGGCGAATTCAGTTTCGGCAACTTCAGGCAAGTATCTTGGTTTCGGCCAGCACCACGTTGGGAAGTGTATTCGTAGGATCCTGTTCCGCTTGCGCTGTCGTCATCTTTGACCGATTCAGTTGAAAAATTTCCTCGGTCATCTAACATAGTTGTGATCATTTCCATCAAACTATCTAAGTGAAGGTAGATTTTCTCAGCTTCTTCCAATTCAACTGCAAGTGCATCTTCATCATCGTTTAGAACATTTGAAATTTGCTGATTAAGCTCTTCCAGTTTCGTTTTCTTTCGTTCGCACATCGTGAGATTGGCCTTGAGAGTTCCAACTTCCTTGTAGGTTAGAGCAGATGCCTCTTTGTTGAAGATTGCTGAGACGGCATTTTCCGATCGGGTAATGACACCGATGTTAGCACTTCTTGATCGCTTCAAAGCACGAAGAGTGAGCGTCACGTTGCTCATGTCACTAGCAGGTGATGACATTTTTAACTTTCCTCTTTGTTTCTAATCTTTGGTTCGTTCGTTAGTCGCGTTGCACCAAAAATGTTGTGCAGCAGAAGTTGGGAAAGGAAAAATCACCAATCCGACTGAATAAAACTGGTGATTCGCAAAGAGTGTAAATTATTTCATGAGTTATAGATAGAAGTCAATTGATTTTTGTTAAATGCAGTTTTAAATAAGTAAATCAGTTCAATCGTAGATTTAGTTCAAGTAGAAAGCTGAGATGTCTTTTTTAGGCTTCAACATGCACCACTCATCATCACTCTCATGTGAGCCAGTAAAAACAGCTCAATAACACGCAGGTTAAATAAGGAAAACTCGCGAGAGCCTTCGGAGGTTTATCGTTGCACGAATGTTCGATTATTCGATTGCACAACTTATCATCACTCAAGTGACACAGTAAAAACAACTCAAAAACACGCAGGTCAATTAGTAGCAAATGTTCGCGAGAGCCTTCGGAGGTTTATCGTTGCACGAATGTTCGATTATTCGGTTGCGCCACTCATCATCACTGTCAAGTGACACAGAAAAAAAACAACTCAATAACACGCAGGTCAAATAGTAGCAAATGTTCGCGAGAGCCTTCGGAGGTTTATCGTTGCACGAATGTTCGATTATTCGGTTGCACCACTCATCATCACTCAAGTGACACAGTAAAAACAACTCAATAACACACAGGTCAAATAGTAGCGAATGTTCGCGAGAGCCTTCGGAGGTTTATCGTTGCACGAATGTTCGATTATTCGGTTGCACCACTCATCATCACTGTCAAGTGACACAGAAAAAACAACTCAATAACACGCAGGTCAAATAGTAGCAAATGTTCGCGAGAGCCTTCGGAGGTTTATCGTTGCACGAATGTTCGATTATTCGGTTGAACCACTCATCATCACTCAAGTGACACAGTAAAAACAACTCAATAACACACAGGTCAAATAGTAGCGAATGTTCGCGAGAGCCTTCGGAGCTTTATCGTTGCACGAATGTTCGATTATTCGGTTGCACCACTCATCATCACTCAAGTGACACAGTAAAAACAACTCAATAACACGCAGGTCAAATAGTAGCGAATGTTCGCGAGAGCCTTCGGAGGTTTATCGTTGCACGAATGTTCGATTATTCGGTTGCACCACTCATCATCACTCAAGTGACACAGTAAAAACAACTCAATAACACGCAGGTCAAATAGTAGCGAATGTTCGCGAGAGCCTTCGGAGGTTTATCGTTGCACGAATGTTCGATTATTCGGTTGCACCACTCATCATCACTGTCAAGTGACACAGAAAAAACAACTCAATAACACGCAGGTCAAATAGTAGCAAATGTTCGCGAGAGCCTTCGGAGGTTTATCGTTGCACGAATGTTCGATTATTCGGTTGCACCACTCATCATCACTCAAGTGACACAGTAAAAACAACTCAATAACACGCAGGTCAAATAGTAGCGAATGTTCGCGATAGCCTTCGGAGGTTTATCGTTGCACGAATGTTCGATTATTCGGTTGCACCACTCATCATCACTGTCAAGTGACACAGAAAAAACAACTCAATAACACGCAGGTCAAATAGTAGCAAATGTTCGCGAGAGCCTTCGGAGGTTTATCGTTGCACGAATGTTCGATTATTCGGTTGCACCACTCATCATCACTCAAGTGACACAGTAAAAACAACTCAATAACACACAGGTCAAATAGTAGCGAATGTTCGCGAGAGCCTTCGGAGGTTTATCGTTGCACGAATGTTCGATTATTCGGTTGCACCACTCATCATCACTGTCAAGTGACACAGAAAAAACAACTCAATAACACGCAGGTCAAATAGTAGCAAATGTTCGCGAGAGCCTTCGGAGGTTTATCGTTGCACGAATGTTCGATTATTCGGTTGCACCACTCATCATCACTCAAGTGACACAGTAAAAACAACTCAATAACACACAGGTCAAATAGTAGCGAATGTTCGCGAGAGCCTTCGGAGGTTTATCGTTGCACGAATGTTCGATTATTCGGTTGCACCACTCATCATCACTGTCAAGTGACACAGAAAAAACAACTCAATAACACGCAGGTCAAATAGAAGCAAATGTTCGCGAGAGCCTTCGGAGGTTTATCGTTGCACGAATGTTCGATTATTCGGTTGCACCACTCATCATCACTGTCGAGTGACACAGAAAAAACAACTCAATAACACGCAGGTCAAATAGTAGCAAATGTTCGCGAGAGCCTTCGGAGGTTTATCGTTGCACGAATGTTCGATTACTCGGTTGCGCCACTCATCATCACTGTCAAGTGACACAGAAAAAAAACAACTCAATAACACGCAGGTCAAATAGTAGCAAATGTTCGCGAGAGCCTTCGGAGGTTTATCGTTGCACGAATGTTCGATTATTCGGTTGCACCACTCATCATCACTGTCAAGTGACACAGAAAAAACAACTCAATAACACGCAGGTCAAATAGTAGCAAATGTTCGCGAGAGCCTTCGGAGGTTTATCGTTGCACGAATGTTCGATTATTCGGTTGAACCACTCATCATCACTCAAGTGACACAGTAAAAACAACTCAATAACACACAGGTCAAATAGTAGCGAATGTTCGCGAGAGCCTTCGGAGCTTTATCGTTGCACGAATGTTCGATTATTCGGTTGCACCACTCATCATCACTCAAGTGACACAGTAAAAACAACTCAATAACACGCAGGTCAAATAGTAGCGAATGTTCGCGAGAGCCTTCGGAGGTTTATCGTTGCACGAATGTTCGATTATTCGGTTGCACCACTCATCATCACTCAAGTGACACAGTAAAAACAACTCAATAACACGCAGGTCAAATAGTAGCGAATGTTCGCGAGAGCCTTCGGAGGTTTATCGTTGCACGAATGTTCGATTATTCGGTTGCACCACTCATCATCACTGTCAAGTGACACAGAAAAAACAACTCAATAACACGCAGGTCAAATAGTAGCAAATGTTCGCGAGAGCCTTCGGAGGTTTATCGTTGCACGAATGTTCGATTATTCGGTTGCACCACTCATCATCACTCAAGTGACACAGTAAAAACAACTCAATAACACGCAGGTCAAATAGTAGCGAATGTTCGCGATAGCCTTCGGAGGTTTATCGTTGCACGAATGTTCGATTATTCGGTTGCACCACTCATCATCACTGTCAAGTGACACAGAAAAAACAACTCAATAACACGCAGGTCAAATAGTAGCAAATGTTCGCGAGAGCCTTCGGAGGTTTATCGTTGCACGAATGTTCGATTATTCGGTTGCACCACTCATCATCACTCAAGTGACACAGTAAAAACAACTCAATAACACACAGTTCAAATAGTAGCGAATGTTCGCGAGAGCCTTCGGAGGTTTATCGTTGCACGAATGTTCGATTATTCGGTTGCACCACTCATCATCACTGTCAAGTGACACAGAAAAAACAACTCAATAACACGCAGGTCAAATAGTAGCAAATGTTCGCGAGAGCCTTCGGAGGTTTATCGTTGCACGAATGTTCGATTATTCGGTTGCACCACTCATCATCACTCAAGTGACACAGTAAAAACAACTCAATAACACACAGGTCAAATAGTAGCGAATGTTCGCGAGAGCCTTCGGAGGTTTATCGTTGCACGAATGTTCGATTATTCGGTTGCACCACTCATCATCACTGTCAAGTGACACAGAAAAAACAACTCAATAACACGCAGGTCAAATAGTAGCAAATGTTCGCGAGAGCCTTCGGAGGTTTATCGTTGCACGAATGTTCGATTATTCGGTTGCACCACTCATCATCACTGTCGAGTGACACAGAAAAAACAACTCAATAACACGCAGGTCAAATAGTAGCAAATGTTCGCGAGAGCCTTCGGAGGTTTATCGTTGCACGAATGTTCGATTACTCGGTTGCGCCACTCATCATCACTGTCAAGTGACACAGAAAAAAAACAACTCAATAACACGCAGGTCAAATAGTAGCAAATGTTCGCGAGAGCCTTCGGAGGTTTATCGTTGCACGAATGTTCGATTATTCGGTTGCGCCACTCATCATCACTGTCAAGTGACACAGAAAAAACAACTCAATAACACGCAGGTCAAATAGTAGCAAATGTTCGCGAGAGCCTTCGGAGGTTTATCGTTGCACGAATGTTCGATTATTCGGTTGCACCACTCATCATCACTCAAGTGACACAGTAAAAACAACTCAATAACACACAGGTCAAATAGTAGCGAATGTTCGCGAGAGCCTTCGGAGGTTTATCGTTGCACGAATGTTCGATTATTCGGTTGCACCACTCATCATCACTGTCAAGTGACACAGAAAAAACAACTCAATAACACGCAGGTCAAATAGTAGCAAATGTTCGCGAGAGCCTTCGGAGGTTTATCGTTGCACGAATGTTCGATTATTCGGTTGCGCCACTCATCATCACTGTCAAGTGACACAGAAAAAAAACAACTCAATAACACGCAGGTCAAATAGTAGCAAATGTTCGCGAGAGCCTTCGGAGGTTTATCGTTGCACGAATGTTCGATTATTCGGTTGCGCCACTCATCATCACTGTCAAGTGACACAGAAAAAACAACTCAATAACACGCAGGTCAAATAGTAGCAAATGTTCGCGAGAGCCTTCGGAGGTTTATCGTTGCACGAATGTTCGATTATTCGGTTGCACCACTCATCATCACTCAAGTGACACAGTAAAAACAACTCAATAACACACAGGTCAAATAGTAGCGAATGTTCGCGAGAGCCTTCGGAGGTTTATCGTTGCACGAATGTTCGATTATTCGGTTGCACCACTCATCATCACTGTCAAGTGACACAGAAAAAACAACTCAATAACACGCAGGTCAAATAGTAGCAAATGTTCGCGAGAGCCTTCGGAGGTTTATCGTTGCACGAATGTTCGATTATTCGGTTGCGCCACTCATCATCACTGTCAAGTGACACAGAAAAAAAACAACTCAATAACACGCAGGTCAAA